ACCGGCAGGAATCACAGAAGCGAAAATAATTGAAATTCCCGAGCATTTGCATATTGTTCACCCCGTTTAGTATCTTTAAAAACACGTTTTTTATTGGAACCATGGGACTGAATGCGTCATAACAAACGCCCCAGGGCGAAAATAAACCTAATCATACCATTTTCTCTAAATAATTGATTAGCTTTGTTAACATTTACCATAATTATGTTCCGTTATTTTCAAAGGAGAAGGCTCTTAAGTCTCAAGACAGTCCTTTCTTCCACCCTCCTCACGAATAAGAGCAATGTCCTCTCCACCACGTATACATTTTACCAGTTTACAGTTTAAGATAAATACGTCCCATTGAAGTAACATGTTTTTTTAAATGAAATGATTGTTATTCACTCCGATTATCTGATAGTGTACGTCTTGTCCGATTAACCAATAATTGAGTCCAGAAGTAGATTAAAATATATATAGATGGACAAAATAATCATCTTGATAATATCTTAATTCAATCAGTCTCGACCACATCAGACCTGAGATCGATAAATATACTTTTAAAATGCTTTGGGTCAGTCTTCTGAATCACCAAAACGAAATTAAAATGTTCAATTAGGCTGCCCTAAATGCTTCACATACAGGAAACGGCATTCTAACCTTAATATACAAAAAAAGATGTAATAAAAAAAAGATGTAATAAATAGATATTGCAATGATAACCCAGATTGATAAGACGATTGGGATTAATAAATCATTGCATCTATCCTATTGATCAGCCACGGGACAACTTATAAACAGATCTACACGAATGATATAAGATTCCATACAGGTGGGATTCATAAGGATAAACGCAATATCAGTGTGATGGAAGAGAATTGATACCCGATAGACATGTTTGTGGTTATCTTTATTAAAAACAAGGCTGGTAAAACATGAGTTCATTATTCATAAGGCACAAGGTCAATTATCTCTTTATTGTCTTTATGCACAGAGAACGTATTAATAAAGCATTTTGTTCCATGTATCTGAGATATCGGGAGAATGGATGGAGGTTTTCTTCTCCGAGAGGGAGATGGGGTGAATAGTACCTCCCTTGGGAAATGGGGTTAAGAGTTTTTCTCTTTGAATAGTATAGAAATCTTATACTTGGCATATAAAAGTTTCTCCCTCGGGAGGTGGGGTAAAGAGTTTATCCCAAGGAAGACGATGAAACGTTTGGTTTCTCCTTTGACAGATGAGATCAATTGTAGCACATGCACCATTCTGCGCAACTTGGTCAGTTTCCACGCGGCTTTTATCTCTCATATTTTACAAAGATGAGACTATTCCATCAGTGATCCAAGAACTACTCTGAAAATTGTTTCCATGAAAGATCGTTTTTCCTGCGTGACCAATTCTATTTGTCTTAAGAAATGAACAATTGCTGAAAGTGGAATCATTAGCAAGTAGTGCTGAAATCACAGTTTCCACCACACAGGAGCGAAATACTTAAAATGGAAAGTGGTTCCGTCAATACTCCTACGAGCTTATAAGTGTGATCAATTTACACACGTATAGTAGCACTCAAGAAATACAACTCAAACACTTCAGATTCTACTGGAAGTGCATTTAGTCTCAGAACAGACTCAAGTTCAATTGTTTAACCAGGCTTATTGCTCATGAAAACCAAATACTTAAATAGATAAAACGGTACTGTGAAACATTTAACAGCATGCCAGCTCATTTGTCATCATATAACTGTTTAAACAGGCCGATCCTGGAAAAATAAGCAATGCTTGCAATGATTTACTACCCTTTGGTCTAAAGATATCCATCTAAAAGAGATCCCAAGGTCATGCTGTTTATGTTGATCTCCCCGCCAGGTAATCCAAGGTAGGCCTAACCTTGTTCGTATTCATCATGAACAAGCATGACACATATTGTAATCAAAATTGGAAATTATGGGTATTAATGTTGAGTGATGGGTATCAAAGTTGAGCGTTATGGGTATCAATGTCGCAAGTGATGGGTATCAACGTTGAATGTCGCAGGTGATGGGTATCAAACTTGAGAGTGATTGGTGTCAATGTCAAAAGTGATTGGTATTAAAGTTGAATGTCGGAAGTGATGGGTATCAGAGTTGAGAGTGATGGGTATCAGTGTCGCAAGTGATTGATGTCAAAGTTGAGAGTGATGGGTATCAACGTTGAATGTCGCAGGTGATGGGTATCAAACTTGAGAGTGATTGGTGTCAATGTCGCAGGTGATTGGTATTAAAGTTGAATGTCGGAAGTGATGGGTATCAAAGTTGAGCGTATGGGTATCCATGTCTCAGGTGATGGGTATCAAAGTTTGGAGTAGTTTTCAGATTCCTGATAAGTGATGAGTGCAAGGTCTTGTGAGATGGTTTTCAAAATTGGGAGTGATTGGTATCACTTTAGAATAGACGTCGGTGTTTGGAGTGATAGGTATATAAGTTTGCCCCTATGTTTTTTCATAAAACTGGCAATCGATTTAGGTATCACAGTTTGGACTTATGATTATCTATGTTGAATTGTTGAGAGTGATGGGCAATAAACCTTGGCGCGATCAGTAAATATCAATGTTAGTCGTGGATGGATGTCAGAGTTGGAAGTAGTGGGTTTTTATGGTGTGAGTTCTTTAAAGAAGCCGTGGCAATAAATACATATAAATATTTTTGCAAGTTTATTAAATGGAATCAATGGAACATAAATAATTGATTAACATCTGCGATTCAAAATATAATTATCAGCTTTTAATATCATAATCATCTTGAGGTTTTATGAGATTTTTATGAGGCAGGCAGACGCTTCTAATTTGACTCAACATAAATTTCTAGAAAATATGTTTCGCCTTTGAATATGCTCATTTATTGTATTGCGCATGCAACTATCATAGCCTCATATCATACCATTCCCTGATATAACATGCACTGCATATGCCAGCAAACACCTCAGGATCATATCTATTTAATTTATCTATTTTTAATTACCTTTTCATTCAGTTAAAATACCATATTTTACAAATTATTGAGCAGAAGAATCCATATGATGTATGATGTATATTTATATACATTAAGGGATAAACCAAAACGAATACATACAAACTGTCCAACTTTGCCTAATTTATTTCCAACATTGGCTTGTACTTTTTAATTTACGCTCATTGTTGCCCGATTCAAAACAGACACTCCCTTCTATATCAGAACATAGTGCTCCAGGAATGAGGAAGCAGAGTTTTATTGTTAATGAATATCTATTTTAAATTAAGCCATGTGTTGATTGTTATATTTCAATTGATTGTTAATCATATTTCCTTACAATACTTCAAGATAATATGTTGATGTACTTCAATATAACATGTTGATGTACTTTAACATAACATGTTGGTGTACGTCAATATTACATGTTGATGTACTTCAAAATAACATGTTGATGTTCTTCAATATAACATGTTGATGTACTTTAATATAACATGTTGGTGTACGTCAATATAACATGTTGATGTACTTCAAAATAACATGTTGATGTACTTTAATATAACATGTTGGTGTACGTCAATATAACATGTTGATGTACTTCAAAATAACATGTTGATGTACTTCAATACAACATGTTGATGTACTTCAAAATAACATGTTGATGCACTTCAATATAGCATGTTGATGTACTTCAGTATAAGATGTTGATGTACTTCAATATAACATGTTGAAATGTATTTCAATGTCTTGTATTTCAAGTCAGTATAATTACAATCTAACCTTTCTCACAGTCATCATAAGTTGATTTTTCAAATATATTACAGTTGTTTTGTTGATTAAGAAAAATAAAATACAATCACTGAAATCAATAAAATAAGCCCAATTAGGCTATTTAATAGGCCCATTGCTAGATTCATTGAAATTTATAGGCCCATTTCCAAGTTGGCTTTATGCTTGATTTATTGAAATATATGGGCCTATTGCTTGATTCATTTAATATATAGGCCTATTGCTTGATTCATTGGAATGTATAGGCCTATTGCTTGATTCATTGATTCACTTCACAAGTCATCCTACATTTGTGAGGGACTAATGTATAATAATTGATAATTTAAATATATATATTTCATAGCATGATCTATTTATAATAAAAAATAAAAATAAATTTGTATCATGTAATATAATTAATAAATATACACGACTAAATTATAACATGACATAGCATATAACATGGGATATACTAGTGTATACATGCACTGTGTGTAAGTGTGATCATGATGGAACTCATGTAAATACTGTACATAAAATGAATATCATTTAGTCAGTGGTATTGCTTTTTTGGACTGTTGCATTCACAATTGTAAATGCCATTAGTGCTTTTGTATAAATAACAGGCCTGTCCGAAGGGGTGGACATTAGGGCGACTGACCCCTCCCCCTTTTTTCCATTTTTTTAGAATATCAAATATGCCCCAAGACTAGGACCCTCTAACTTGCACCCCTTTACACCATCAATGCTTTGAGGGGGTGTGTCAGCAGCACAACCCATCCATATGCAAAAGTCAGCCTCCCTCTTTGGAAATCCTTCGGACGGGCCTGAATAATTGATGACAACCTCAATTATCATCAGAATTATAGATTGTATGTACAAAAATATCTTCAATGAAAAGTGTCCATTTATTTGCAACTGGTTTCAATCACATTAACCCTAATCTGGATTCTTTGTCAAGGATACCATGTAAATCCTTCTACATAATGGGATAAATCCTTCTTTACTGTAATGATTTCAAGTAAGACTGAGATCATTCAAAGGGTCTAATTGGAGCTCTGCCACATTCATTGCTCCAACATTTCCATCCATTGAGTTAGGAAACTTAACTCATGTCACTTTAAAAATTTGAATCTTGACCTTTAGAAAGGTCAACAAGCACTTAGTTTAGAATTTACATGATTGGCAAGGTAGAATTTATATCAATATGAGAACATTTGTATGTAGAGATGCCTTTCATAAAGAAGTCTTGTTTGCCAAGTTCCATGACTTAACCTTTTGGTGATAGTAAGTAGTCACGAGGCAAAACTTTGCCTTGGGGAAGCACATGTAGTTTTATCATCAAAACACAGCACTTTTTCCTTTCCTGGAAAAAAACAAGACAATTGTCAATGAGTTCTGGAACTCTGCAATGAAGGACAATTTTAGTCCTTGGGTACTATTGTAACATGATGTTTCCCATTAGTTGCAGAATCTGAAACTATTAATGTATGAATAGATTATTGTATAGAAGTACATGATGTGATAAATGATTAATTAAACAGATAATCTTGTATTGTGTTGGGACCTGAAAAATGAATTCAATGTTCAAGTAGGATGTACTTGAAGAATCACTTGTATGATTGTTTACTTTTTCAGGTAAATGATCATGTTGACCTGCTATATGTTTATGAAAGTAAAATTGAAGTATGTGATTGGCCGATATCCTTAAATGTTAGAAACGTGGTATCAGCACATCAGATTCTTTGATACATAGAAATCTTTATAATACACTCTCAGAACCATTTACTGATCATTAATTTGTAAAATTGTTCATGATTTCTGTTCCCATATGGTATACATTTCCATATTGACATCTCTACTTAGGGAACTAGTCTAGCTGTAGGTTTTTTCTCCAGACAGATTTACAACAGACCTGTCTACACTCCTTCGTCTAATTGATATGATATATACCATAGAAAATGACATAAGGATGTGTAATCAAATGGGTGACGCAAGAAAATATTAAAGCTGAAGCCAATATAGCTGTATATTGAATTTCCATCTGGGGGATGACAGGGTACTGTATCCAACTTGCCACTTATCACATACAGACAGGAAGATGAATCAATTAGATTACTATTAACCATAAATGTGTGGATTACTGTGAACAGATCTATTATAAACAATAATAGAACCCATTCAATCTGTATAGTTCTTGAATATGGTTTTTAATCAACTTACATGTAGCTATAGATATACAAGCCACTTATTGTCAATATTAAATGGACATTGGTTCATGTCAATTTAGAGCATAATCTGCCAATGACAGTTTTTACAGTGCTAACCTTCTTGATATTTTAAGCTGAAAGGTTTCCAAAGCAGAGATAATTATCTGCTACACAACATATAATATAATTGATATGATTAGAAAAACATACATGTACCTGCAATGTCAGTTTTAAACCATTGCCATCAAATCCAGATGATGCATCTGAAAAAACGTGTGTTTTATCAATCACGGACATTAAACTTGCTAATACTGTCTTTTCTATTTTTGGGCAAAGAAGGGTCTTGTTTCTGTTTTTGGTATTACACATAATCTAAAACTATTGAACTTATGCTAAGTAAAACCTCGGAAGTGAAAGGAACTGCTTTGTATGAGGTGAAACCCATTTCAGTGCCCCATGACCAATTGAATTCAAGTTGAATGAACCTATGTAAGTGGAATTTTCCAGGTGGAACACGTTTTAGTGGTATAAACTCCCACTTACACAGGTTTCACTGTATATATAGAGTATTAAATGTTTTATGTACAATCAAATCAAATAAAATGCTACATATGTTGTAACTCAATGTAATGTATAGAACCATGGGCTTCTAATTGAAAGCCCATGATAGAGCATACTAAGTTTGACTTTAAATTAATTAAAAATGGTAAAAAATGAAATATATATTTGCACTGTATAATCTGAAATCCAGATTGTTTTATGAAATGTACTGAAAAAATGGTAATTCACTAGACTAGGATGTGCTTACAGATGTATATAAACACAAAATGAATGTCATAATATATTCATTTATGTCTCACATGGTGAATTACTGATGTCATTAAAACGACACTGTAATCTCGTATTATTGCTAATATTGTGTAATAAAGTACTGACCTTGTTAAAACAATATAATTGTCTGTTTAAAAGTCTGAGATTCACACCCTGCATTGCTCATATAAGTCTGCTCTATATTGTAGATTATGTCACAAAAGTACTTTTGTATTGATGTTATTCAGATGCATTAACTTTGTTTCAGCTAAACATTGATTACTTGAAAATCTAGGTAAGTTATTCCCAATGGACAATGGAAGGAACCAAAAATACAAGGAACTAGATATACAATAAATAATTGAAATGTTGCCATTGTCTTCCTACAGCAATAGGTGTTGATGACCAGTCAGTACATATCTCTGCATTTTACAGAACTTGTATCTGATTTGAAAGCTGCTCAGTGCTATGCAGTCAGATTACCAAAAACCTAAAGGCGATCGATAAAAAGCCACACACTAAGTTTGGACAGCAAAAACAAGTAAATCATGTGTTAATATGTGCCAAAGGGATATGACTAAAAATTGTAACAGAAAATTAAAACAAAAAAGTACACCAATCATAAGAAAAACAAACCCAAACTTTCCCAAACCATAATCTTAACGAATAACGATGTATAATATATCCCCCCACCATTCAAGTACAATTATCACAATCTGAGACCATAACACCAAGGGACATTTTATTCATACAGATCATAACAATACATGTTGAAGAAATTTTAAATTGATAACATCAAAAATAGTTGTAGAAACTGGTATGCATACAAGATGTGGGATGATGTCTATATCAAAGAGTTTGATGTGGGACTGACAAAATCCAGTTTCAAAGTCCATAACCCTATCAAAGGGTCAATATCCATCAGCAAAACCAATGTCATAATCCATAAAACACAATATTTCACATCAGTTATCAGGAAAAAACTATAACTGGTTTCGATCCCTCTATTGGGATAGACCATTTGATTTATGGGTGTTTTTGTTTTTCAAATAATCTTGTTTGATAATCATGATCATGGTAGTTTCAATGTTTTTCAGTTACGATATTCTTGTTTTTTCTAAACTTGAAACAGATTGTACTAATGTCCATACCTCTCACAATATGTATGTATATTTGATTGTTCTTATTGATACGTCATTATGGTTCACCAGAGAAATGCTTTTGTATCAAGATAAACAATATCAGTAAGTAAATGCAGACAAAACATATAGGTTATTTATGCATAGTACTTTACTGCTATACATGCCAGTGAAAAATAGAAAAACTACTATTAGCTTGACTTATTAATCCCAAATGAGATATAATTGAAGAGGAGGTATTAAATAATGTTCTAATTGACCATTTTTACAGCATTCTACCAAATACAACGTGTACTTTATAGGGAGCCATCAATTGATGTTTTAGGCACATATCAGGAATGTGATCTTTTACTTCAGTCGATTCCAATTATTTACATCTATGAGGAAATGGGACTGTTTTTAACTAATTTGACTTCCAAAAAGGATGTTGCATTATCACCATGTATTACCATGATGGTTACGCCACCTCTGACAATGAGACTGGACTGCTACGTACACTGATTGATCCAATAAAATGGCCACGATGGAAGAGAAAGCAAAGGTCGGTTTTGAAATTCAAAATTACATAAAAGGTCCATGTGCAGTATGGCAAGTGATTTTAGACGGTCATATCTTTCACCATGGGTACTTTCTGGCCACCAATACAGTATTTTTTATTAAAACAATTTGTTTTCTTTCAAATGAAGTCCCCATGATAGTAAAATATCATTCTAACTCTCCGAAAAAATATGGATAAAGACCCCACCTTTGCATTTTTTTTAAAATGTAAGGCTCATTTTCTGAAAACATGATCTTGATTTTTTCAATTTAAACATATCAAAAGTTTCTTCTCCACTATATTAACGATTTATGAAAAGGGGATGCATATAGAAATCCGTTAAAGTTAAAAACCACATACTCCATGTTATTTTCCCATAGGGAAAACTCGTGCTATCCATTGTTTTCAGCATAATTTTGGTTATCGAAAATTGATATCTTCAAAACAAGACTTTCAATACCATTCTACTTTTGAAGAAGTTTTAGACCCCTTGTTGAATAATCTTTTCATGCAATAAAAACCAGAAAAAGAAGATCCTCTTTTGAGTAAATAGGTTCAACATTTTGAAAAAAATGTTGACATGGAGTCCCTATTCATGAATTTTTGAATTGTTTGATTGATATTTTTATCACCATGGGTACTTTCCTTGAAAGGAAACATATTGTTTTAATAAAAAACATTGTATTTATGCCCAGAAAGTGTTCATGGTGTGATTCATTTCATATCGCTTGTGATTCAAAAGAATATTTTTCGAAACTGACGATGAAATGTTCTACGGTGAAGTCACCGACTTAATTCCCGGAAGCTGAGACTCGATATGAAAAAGAAGCAAGTTCTCGTGTATATAACGTGGGTTTGATGTCATGTTTATATATGTTTGACTTATATCAAATGTGAGGGATGTAACTTGAAATTAGAATGACCTTTATTGTCCCGACAATACGCACTAAACATGGTTTTAAGGTTGGGAGAATTTGGTTTAATCAATGGACCTATGAAAATTTGTCCCACTTGAAGTGATGCATTGTGAAAGATATTTATGTTATGGCCTAGTCACATAGCCCGGCCGATGTCCGGCATCGGTAGAGCTCGATGGATTTTTTTGGTGCCACCGAGCTCTCCTCATCGGAAGCAGAGCTCGGTGACGTGAACGGACTCCGTCCGGACATCTTCAGGCGACCGACCGAACACCGGCAGGTGACTGTACGGAGTCTGTCTCAAAATGGTAGTTTTTTCTGCCGATGTCGCAGCAACTACCGGCCGGAGGTGGGCCGGACATCGGAAGGAATATGGCCGGTACCCGAGCAGGTAACAGGACACTGTGCAATCGCCGGCCGGGTTGTTAACGGGCTTTGAACATTGACTGGCCGATGCTCTGTCCCACATCGGCCGGAGCTCGGTCGGAGCTCGGCCTCTGTCCGTTAAAAAACCTCGTCCTCTGGTTGTCTCAGGTGCACGGGACACCGGCCGAAACTCAGCCGTGCACCGGCCGACGTGTTTTCCGATGTGGTTACGATGGGGCTGCGATGACATGATGAGGGAGCTCTGAAGTTAAAATTTCACCGAGCTACCACCGATGCGGTTTTAAGCAACAAACGCCACGGATGTCCGGCCGGTGTTTGGCCGAGTTCGGTGAAAATTGCATCGCTGGCTCATCGTAACCTCATCG